ATTTTCAGGATTCGGTTGATACAACCATACTTCATAACTTTAAAATTAACCTGTTGGTTGCATTGCCCTTTTGTTCCTGTGGTGCTGTCAAGTTCCTTCCCAAACAAGCGCAACATGTAAAGTCTCAGGGCAGGGGTATCATCCTCACCCTGCAGGAAAGAAAATTAAGGAGGGTCAAGTGTGTGTTGGAATATAATGTTATGTTGTGAGAGACTTTATAGAAGGATGGGTGGATAAAAACCAAGTGTGTGGGGGTGGGGGGGAGAGTGGGGGGAGAAATAACCAAGTTAGGAGTCTTAGTAAAACAAAAACTGCGATAGGATAGTGAACTACGTGTCTACACAGCAACCTTGAAATCGTTCCTAGGAGCCTTTCCAAAGCTTCCTGAAGCTTCTACCGACCTTTGAGCTGTCATTGGATAGTTCCTGACCACCCTTTCAATCTTCTCAACACAAAGTACTGTGAAAGAGAAGCCTTTAAGATCCTGTAGCACTAAAATATTTTATGTGGAATAAGTAGATGACAGGAAAATTGAAATGGCAAAGTGGGGAAGGCTGATGGGAAACAGGTGTGCTCGGAGAGGCTATTAATAGTGTCGTCATGACAACACTTCTGGAGGAATCTAGCAGTATGCATCAAAACCCATGAAAAGATGAGATGAATACTGGTAGACAGATGCAGGTATTCACTTTTGTTGGGCTTCATGTTAAGCAAGTAATCACAGGATATGCTCAAAGATAGGTTTGTGAAGTAGGGTTGCCGATCTATCCCATTATTGTAGAGTAAGAAGTTAGCACGTGACATGGGAGCACGCTAACTGACTACAGAATCATGGCTTACTCAAACAGTAAAATAACAAGAACATGGTGCTATTAGAACAACCATTCAGGTCTGTCGAGATGTCTTAGTGGGTATAAGCACTTGTCATGAAGCCTAAGAGTCTGATACCTCTAAGCTATGTGGTGGAAGGAGCTAATTGACTCTGGGAAGTTGTCCTCTGACCTTCACATCACACACACAACACACACACACATGTGCATACTATATATATATATATGTATACATACATACATATATATATATATACACACACATACATATCTTACTTGAAAATCATTATTTTGCTGACAGTAGAAACATTTTTATTTGTATTTAAAATATACAAGACTCAATTTCTCAGGCATAGGTAAAACTTCATATATATATATATATGTATATATATATATATATATAATTTTTTCTTATTTTACATATCAATCCCTGTTCCCTCTCCCTCCCTCCCTGCCATGCCCCCCACCCCCTCCCATCCCATCCCCTCCACACTCCACAGGGAGGGTGATGCCTTCCAGGATGGATCATCAAAATCTGTCAAGTCATTTAGCTTAGGGACTAGGCCCTCCCTCCTGCCTCTAGGTTAAGGGAGTATCCCTCCATGGGGAATGTGCTCCCAAAGTCCTTTCCTGCACCAGGGATACATCCTGGTTCCACCGTCAGATCCTGAGTTCCTCGGGAAAATGGGAATTAGTTTACCACAGGACCTGGCAATCCCACTCTTAGGCATATACCCAAATGATCCACATCCATGTGACAAAGACATCTGTTCAACTATGTTCATAGTAGCATTATGTGTAATAGCAAGAACCTGGAAAATCATTTTTTAAACCATATGCTCAGAAAGATCTATAGGAATACACATAAAGATGGCATTGTTAGTTATATAGTCATTTTTGATTCTGTTTTCTCAAAAAAAATCTCTTTAACACACACACATGTATACAAATATTCATATATATCAATACAGGGTCTTACTTGGTAGTGGGTCTGATCTTCACAGGAATTATCCTTCCTCAGCATTCCAAGTGCTGGGATTACAGATGTGAGCCACCATTTCTGTACCTTTAATCTCTTTCCACTGCTGCGTGTAAGGATTCAGGCATTACGCTGGCCTGCCCCTGTCACCTGGCAGAATGCTCTCAGGCAGTGCTCTGGTCACCCCAGGGTTGGAGGCAGGTGTAAGGGACCCCTTTAAAAGTCAGACCCCTGTCCACTTACACTCTTTTGCTTTCTCTTTTGCCTTCCAGCTCTGTACTCTCTCTCCTCTCTTTTCTTCTGTTCTCAGTGTCTCTTCCCTTCTCCCTCACTGCCCTTTCTAAATAAACCACTCATTTACGCTCTATCTGCCTGGCGTGTTATTCCCTCCTCCTCGCTCACCTCACCTGCTATAGAACCTGCTATGCATTCTCCCACGTGGTCCCTTCTTGGGACCCCACTCACTTGGGACCCCACTAGGGATCACCACCCTCTCCTTCTCCAGCTTTTATTCCTATAACTGTAACAAAAGAACAACACTGTGAATATTCCATAATTGGTTAGAAAAAATATGTATTGCCTTAATGTTAAAAAAAAAAAAAAAAATAAAGGCATTTGGCCTGATGTGATGGCTCATGTCTGTAAAACAGCATTTGGGAGACTCGGGCAGAAGGGCCATGAGTTTGAGGCCAGCCTAGATTATGGAATAAGACTCTCCAAAACAAACAAAGCAATGGAAAAAAGTATTTGAAATAAAGGAAAGTAATGAAAACAAGAAACAACCCCCCCCCCATGGTTCCCACACAGTGTGCCACAGACAATGCTCTGTATATCGCTTGGTGGACGGTAGATTTTTCTAGTATTAACTTTAATGATCACCCTAACAACTTCTGAAATGGGAAAGCCACTGTACTCTATCCAGGCACACCATCTTAGTCTTTAAATCCAATTACCAGTATAACCACGAATATCAACCTATTCTGAGCTTCTGAAGTTTGAGTATATATAGACATTATTTAAGAAAACTGAACAACGATTACACTTTGATGAGGAAATAGGCTCAGAGTCTAAAAGTTAAATAATGAGAAGACTAGCAAGGATTTGAGCTCAGAGTCTAAAGGTTAAATAATGAGAAGATTAGCAAGGATTTGAGCTCAGAGTCTAAAGGTTAAATAATGAGAAGACTAGCAAGGATTTGAGCTCAGAGTCTAAAGGCAGAGCCTGCAGTCTCATGCCTGAGCTATACATGTTTTGTGGGTGTAGTGCAAATGATTTTGGGTCATGTGGGATATGAGTAGACCAAAATGTATTTTTGTTGACCACTCTATAATATGTGAAACATTTTCTTTCTTTTCTCCCCGCCCCCCTCTGCCTCTCTCTGTCTGTCTCTCTCTCTCTGAGACAAGGTTTCTCTGTGTAGCTTTGAAGCCTGTCTTGGAACTCAGTAGACCAGGCTGGCTTCAAACTCATAGAGATCAACCTGCCTCTGTCTCCCAAGTGCTAGGGTTAAAGGCATGTGCATCACTGCCCAGTTCAAAACAAATTTTAAAACACCAATAGGAAATCAAATATGAAAATATTTTCTCGATAGGCAACTTAGTTCTGGTGAATATATCAAGTTTTCAATTTCATTGTCAGTAGTACTTTAGAGTATGGAGAAATATGTAAGACACAACAAAAACAGCCCGTTCGGTTGTTAACATCTGAAGAGCTGAAGTTTATTTATTTGATAGTAGACTACCAAGAGGCAAAAACGTACTGTCAAATTTGGAGAAAGACAACTGACATGGCATTTAATGAGGTCAATTTTAAGAAAAAAAAAATACATATGATTGCATTAAGACACACACAGACACTCTGTTGTCAGACAGACAGACCAACATTGAACCGACAGCAGGGAGATCTTAGAGTGGAACTTCAGCTGTCACTACTCTGCTATTTTCACACCTCTGAAAATGTGTAGGCCTCATATGAGGAAAAGAAAAATGACACACAGAGTCCCGATAGAGTATTCCTATTCAGTAGTAGTGAACAAGGACAAACTACAAAAACGCTGGATGGGACACAGACACTGGTTCCCATAGCAACGGGAGGATAATGGTAATAATGACAGGGAGCAACTGTGGGTAACTCCAGCCTTCCCACACGATGGCTCAGTTCTTTTATTAATTAATTAATTTTTCCTGAAAATATGTAATTGAAATTTTATCATGATGAATAGTGCCTTGGGACTTACAAAAAAAAAAAAAAAAATCCCAACAAAATCCAGGCTTCTGGATACAAACATTTTTTGTGAGACAGTTATTAAATATCTACAAGAAAACCTATGCTGTTAATAACAAAGGTCTTTGATACTAAGGTTTTTAATTTCCGCTAGCTTCTACTTAACCATTCTTTCAGAAGTTCTTTTATACTATTTATTAAACACATTCTGTAAAAGGTTAAGAAATAATGTACATTCTCATGGTCATACACAGTGACAGATTGCAGCAACACTTTTTTCCTAGCTGTATACAGGTTGCATATGAGAGACATGGGTTGCACATTTTAGTGATCCATGCAGTACAGGCTCACAGAAAAACCAAGCAAAACAAATTACACACTGGTCAGCCATGAAAACTTACCCATCCAGTTACAACAGGCAAAATTACCAGCACTGACAGCTTTGTTGAAACCATGCTGGGCAAAGTTAATTCTCGTTAAAAGAACCATAAAAACACTGGCAATGAGGAATTTTCCTGGTTCTCCACATGGGGTTCAGACTAAGCTCTCCTTACATGGCTTTCCCCTATCCTGCAAGCATTAGCTAAAGAAGCATTTCAGGCTTCAAATAAAAGCAATCAGCCTTCCGAAAAGCTGGAAACTGTCACTTTTGAGTCTCCAGTCCTGGAAACAGCTTGCTGTAGGTCTTTAAAGCAAATGCCAGGGATCAAACAAATTGGAATGCAGTTTGGAGATGTAAACAATACTATCACAAGCAAGGGTTACAATCTTGGACAAAAGGTTTTCACTAACAGGCCTGTCTGGGTAAGACGGACTTCTTGGCTTTTGAAGTTCATGTGTTTTATATACTAGAAGTACTGCTTTTTTTTCTTTTCTTTTCTTTTTTCTTTTCTTTTTTTTTTTTTCTTTTTTTTTTTTTTTTTTTTTTTGTAGAGACTTATGGACTAGATCAAAATTCACGGTGTTGCTTAAAAATAAAAAAATAATAATAAAAAAAAAAAAGCACAGCATGGAGAAGCCACTCAAAAACCTAGTAGTGTTTTGGGTTTGTTTTTGTTTGTTTCCTGTTCATATTTTACTTATGTGGTTAAAATATGGAAAACCGAACTGGGAAATCATAATGTTAGAGTATTTTAAGGGCATGCCATCGTAGATAGTAACAAGCTTATTTATACAGTAAGATCTTTGCAGGAAGTGCTCTGCCCGATGCCACATGCCAGAATGGCCACTGGTTTCTTTATCCAAAAGGGCCATGTTTACAGGTTTCACAAATATCCCCGAAGACTTCCCTGTGTGCTTGCTGATGATGAAATTCATAGCAATGTCATCGCAGTTTTGCGTCTCGTCTATCATTGCATGGACGGCTGTAGGCTGCCTCTGGAAGAGTTCAAGGTATTTGCTGTTGAAGAAGGAGACTCCAATGAGCACCATGGAGTACTGGTCACCGCTTCCCGCCCCTGGAGTCTGCAGTACAAAATTTCCATAATTGTAGACACCGGACGGAGTAGAGATGTGTTTTCTAGGTATAAATCCTACGATCTGGTCAGGAAATTGCTGAAAAGTAGGAGGAAAAGAACAATTAAATGTGGCATTTCTTCAGAGAAGAAATAGACAAAATGTATTTATTACAGAGGATCTGACTAATTGGTCAACTTTTCCTTATTCCTTACTTCTCCATTTTCTTTAAGTTCACACCCTAATCTCTTCTAACTGTAGACAATCTTATAACTTTGTCTCCTGGTAAGTTTATATTATCTTACAAACATTCTCCTAACATCTGGTCTAAACAAATTTTAGTCACCATGGAGTCTAGTCCTTCCAAGTTTACTATAAGAAAAATTGATGATGATAGGTGTGGTGGCACATACCTTTAGTTTCAGCACTAGGGAGGCAGGGGAAGGTGGACCTCTGTGAGTTTTAAGCCAGCTTGGTCCACAGAGTGAGTTCCAGGACAGGTAGGATTATACAGAAAGACCCTGACTCAAACAAATAAAACAAACCAAATAAACCAAAAAATATCTCACCCAAAAACAACAAAAATCCAAAAGACAAAAAGCAAACAAGAAAAGTTGGCCACATGAATATTATTATAGAAGATGGAAGTGATCACTTTGAAAAATTCTAATCCCTTAAGTATATATAAACCTATATAATCCATAGAGCTGACTTTTACTGCTTTTCCATGTTGATTTTTTCCCTTTGTTGATTTTAATGGTCTTGAAAGTCACTATTGATTTTAAATAATTTAAATATTGTTTAAATTTTAAATTTTCTGCCCTTTCAGATCGAGATACTTCCTTTTCAAAAATACGAATTTAAACAAGTAAATACAACATTAATTGCACATTTTACATATACATACAGGCAAGACAAAAGACAAGATCTTTGAAGGAACAACAGATAGTAGCAAAAACATTCATATTGAGGAGGAACAAAAAAAAAACAGCAAACAAAAGAAATCACTAAACTTATAGGATCAAAAGGGGTTTTTCTTTTTCTTCTTTGCTTTGATTTCTTTCTTTTTCCCCTTATTTTACAGGATCGAAAGTTTAAAAGTTTAATTCATTCTTGTGAATAATGTGAATTTCATCTAGTTTGAGTTTCATCTGCCAAGGCAAAGGGGCACGTTTACACGCGCACACACACACAGTCTAGGCTGAATTAAATTTCACTTCAAAGAGCTCAGAGTACAATGAGGGTATTCACACTTGTGAGTGGGGGTTCCCATACCCTGACCAGTCAGACAGCTATAAAGGTAGTTGGGTAAGGCAGATGGGTGCGTTGAGGATAGTGATAACTATGGCTGAAGGCAGACTGGATATTCAGGGATGGATGGATGGATGGATGGAGGATAAAGGCTAGTGGACTCCAAAGAAGAACCATTTACATCAGCCAAATACTGAAAAGTCTCACACATTAGAGAAAGCCAGCAAAAGGCACCAAGGTGGGCAGTGACAGGCATGTGTAGACACTGGGGCCCATCTTCTCCATCTTACTTGCATACATACCAAATTATGAAGAGATGCAGGACACTACCACACAATCAGATATTTCTGGTCAATGGTTTGAAGAGGTTTTTGATATTTTATGAATAAAAATTAAAATATCACTTGTTTTTCTTTATATTTCTACTCAAATTGTTCTAACTAATCACATTCTTTATATTGTACCTTATGCTATCTTAATATTTAGGTTGGATTGATTTATTTTTTAACCCTTAAATAGAAATCCCATAGCTGAAGTATTATATTAGAACTTCTTGCCTAAGATTTTATTTACATGGCAGGAAAAAAACAATTATAATGTAGAAAAAAGTATAATTCATTAATCAATATGTGAGGAATGAAATTAAAGCTGCAGCTGCTAGAAGTCTGGTACTGACAGGGCACAGTCACCACCTGCCCTTTACATCTCATGCAGCTCTTAGGGAGGACTTACTGTAAATCTGACCATCTAGGATAGTATAGTGTTTAATCAGAAGATCCGGCACACAGTTCTGGATTTAGGTAATTTGTAATGCAGCTTGCAAAGCCCAGCTATTACCAGTGGGAGAGCTATCCAGCAATTTATGCCTGCTCATTCAAGCTGGCATTTAGGAAAAACCAAGCCAAAATAAACACCTGTCACCTCACTCACTCACACACACACACACACACACACACACACACACACACACACACACAATTATTGCCTCTGAATTTTTCAACATGGTTTCAACTAGGATACAGTTTTGTCCAGGCAATAAATGCTTTCTTTTATTACAAGTTTCTTACATTGCTAATACACAAATACATTTTCCATTTGAGATACAAATGGTCTGAGGGAAACTTCTCTACATTGTAGTTTGGCTTTGCCAGATCATTTCATTGTTCTTGGGAAGCTAATTCCAATTTTTCTTCCTACGACACCAATATGTTAAGCCAACTTTCATGTTGTCTTAAGCTCAGAAACTCTTGACTGCCCTATGGCAAATGCAGCTATGTTTTAGACACTGCCTATACTGTTTGAGTTGCCTCCATGTTAAACTAAGCTGCTCTGGTTAGGTATTACATAGATAAAACTTTACCCATACAGTATCATGAAAGATATAGCAACATTACCTGCCAGACTGAGAAACCAAAAGCAAGGTCCTGAGAACTAATGAGTATGTCATCATCTATCATTAATACTGCTGCAATGGAAAGGAAAAAAAAATACATTGAACAGTTTGGAAATTAATGCAAAAATCAGCAAGATACAGTTAAGTCTATACAGACCATTCCAATGGAGGATTTTCAAACCCAGTTAGTATATTAAAAATGTATTCTTAAAGAGATTTGTTTACTAGAAAAAGAAGATTCTGCCTGAGGGGAAGTATCATGCAGTTAAAGTCCATCAACCCAGAAACTAATGATCCCTAAACAAAGCCACCCTGGAGAAACTGTTACATATGGGAAGAAGAAAGTGACACAAATATATCGGAAACTGTGAGGGCTGGCTTTATGTCAATTTGACACAGGCTGTAGTCATCTGAGAGTAGGGAGCCTCAACTGAGAAGATGCCTCTATAAAATTGGGCTGTAGGCAGGTCCTTAGGGCATTTTCTTAATTAGTAATTGATAGGGGAGAGTCCAGCCCATTGTGTGTAGTGCTGTTCCCTGGGCTGGTGGTTCTAGGTTCTATAAAAAGCAAGTTGTATAAACCATGGGGAGCAAGCCAGTAAACAGTGTCCCTTCATGGCCTCTGTATTAGGTCCTGCATCCAAGTTTTTGTCCTGTCTGAATTCCTGTCATGACTTCTTCCATGACTTCTTCAATGATTAACAGTGCTGTAGAAGTGTAAGCCAAATAAATCCTTTCCTCTCCAAGTCACATTTAGTCATAGTGTTTTATCACAGCAATAGTAACCTTGAATAGGAGAGTCATCTTTATGACTTTTTCTTAGTGAATAATATACACCATGTAAGTTCTATGCCACACAGCATATGTCTTAAAAATATTTTAACATTACCCGCCTTGTTATCAAGATGTATGTGATTTCCTCCTCAAGTGTTGCAAAGTGCTTTTTTATGATAACTTCCATGAAAGCTGGAAGTCCACCCACCCACCCATCCACCCACCCACACGAGACCTTGCCGACTCAGAACCCAGCTTTGACTCACCGTTGGTTTCCAGTTCAGGGAAGACCTGGAACCTATTCCTCATTCTGTTTGCTGTTTGTGATTTGAAGATGACAGGGACAGGATGAGGACCCAGAGAGTTCCATAGCTCCTCTGGTCCCTTCTCTCCCACATTGTTCCACACCACGATCACTTTGTGCAGGTTTGGTATTGCCTGGTAATGATTCAAGAGTCTCAGTAAGAGGTCTGTTCTGTTGTATGTCTGCATGATGAGAGTAAAAGAATCCAGGGCCGAAGTGCTCTGGGGCTTGACTTCCCTGCGTACAGAGAGCATCTTGTCTTCTTTGATGTTGGGGAGCAAATTGGTCAAAGCTCCAGCTACAACCAGTAGCACAAGGATGACCCCCAGGGAGAACCGAAGCACGGGAATCCCCATGACTCTGCCAGGAAGTTTGCAAATGTGGAAACACCTGGAATAGAGATCAGAATGCTCTTATCATGGATTTAAATTGATGTCTCTGTTCTTTCATAAAGTGATTTGCCTAATAGATTTTTAAATATAGTCTTACATTCTTTTATTCTTAAAGAAAAAACTTTTATCAATTCTTTGAGCATGTCATACAATGAATTGTGATCATATTCGCTTCCCACTCCTCCCTTGCCAGATTCACCTCCACTTTCTCATCCTTTCCTGTCTTCATTTTGTTTTTTAAAATAACCCACAGTGTCCAGTTTGTGCTGATCATATCTGCCTAAATTTGGGTCCATCCCTGGAGTGTACTGCACTTCCAAGGGCCATTCTCTTACTTTAAAAAACAAAGAAAGAAAGAAAAATCTGTCTCTCTCTTCACCCAGAAGCACCAGCCAATGTCGTCTCAGGGCCGGGCACTCAGAGCCCCCTCCCCCTCCATGTTAGAATGTCGGCTAGCTTGGTATTGTACAGGCTGCTTTTCCTCCTTCTCCTCTTCACCCGCCCCTTCTCCTTTCTCTCTACTCTTCCTTCATCTTTTTTTCTCATGTGATACTTTAGATGCTCACAAAGATTCTGTAACTTTTCTAGGACTATTAAACATTTTGAATTTTAGATCAGGAAAATTTTACCAGGCTGCTCATCACTGTGGGCTGTGCTGTTCTGCCTGAATTCACAGTAGGTTGAGGTAGAGGCTTGTGGTAGTTTGAATGAAAATAGCCCCCCCCCCCAGTCTCATAGTTGAGTGCTGAATTCCCAGCTGGTTAACTGTTTGCAAAAATTAGGGGTGTGGCCTTCTTGGAGGGGTGTGTGTCACTGGGAGTTTCAAAAGCCAACTCTTGGCCCAGTATCTCTGTCTCTCCCTGGCTTTCCATATTCGTCTCTCTCTCCCAGTCTGCTGACTACAGAGATCAGGATGTGAGCTCTCAGGATCCTCTCCAGCACCATGGCCTTCTGCCTGCCACCATGCTCCCCACTGAGATAATGATGGACTAACCCTCTGAAACTGCAAGCAAGACCCCAATTAAATGCTTTCTTTTGTAAGAGTTTCCTCGGCTGTAGTGTCTCTTCACAGCAGTAGAACAGTAACTAACTATGCTCTTCCACAGAATAGATCACAAGGCATGGTGCAATTCCAGCATTCAAGAGGCTGAGGCAGGGGGATTGCAAATTCCAGGCCAGCATGGCCTACATAATACATACTAAGACCCTACCTCAAATAAAATAAGACAAGTCTTCCAGAGCCAGCCAAGGAAAAGTAGGCGGGAACACATAACTAAAGAGGATAGCTTGGATATTCACGAGGCAGAAAGTTTAATCAACCTCTCAAATATATACGTGTGAAAGAAGGTTAAATCTTATTGTCAGATTTACAGCCGTAGGAATGGTTTTCTGCTCCCACACATTATCATTTCCAGGATTGCTACCTCCTGCTCTAACACGGATGGTTTTTAATTAGCCCTGCTTCTGATTCCAGACGATTTATTACTTCACAAACCTCTACTACACTTTTCAGACAAGTCCTTATGTTGTATTCTGGCAACTGTGTCTTGTATCCATTTTGTCAGTGTATGAATTCAGCTTGTCATAGCTGCAGCCATCTTCGGATGTAACCTCCACAGCCGTCCCTGAGTAGAAAGCTGGCCTTCCCTCCATAGTTTCCCAGCACACCATAAACAGATAAAACCATGGGAATCACCAGGCCTTACTACCAGACCCTGCTGTAAGCATGTACCTGAGTCTTTAATGTTATTTTAAGAGCTGGGTGATGGTGACACACACTTTAATTCCAGCACTCAGGAGGCAAAGGCAGGTGGATCTCTGTGAGCTCAAGGCCAGCCTGGTCTACAGAGTGAGTTCCAGGACAGGCTCCAAAGCTACACAGAGAAACCCTGCCCCCCCCCCCCATGAAAATAAAAATCAAAGAGAAACTATCTTAACATAAAACAATTACAATCTAGATTAAAATGGACTTTTTGTGACCCACACTTCAGGTGGTCTGGCTGACATTTCTGCCATCTAGTACCACACTTCCATGTCAATTTCCCAATAAATTCTGGATCTGTCTGCCTTTCTTCTTTTGGCCTCACAGCACTTGGGAACCTATTAAGTACAAAAGCCAGCAGTGGGGGGAAAAGGACTCTCCGAAGAAATTCACTAGATTAAAAACAAAACAAGCAACTAGGAATTTCTGGTCAACCTTATAAAAATACCTTTAAGTCAACAAAACAGATTTCTCAGCATCAGAAAGAATTTGAGCATCTGGGAGGGACAGCTCAGTGGAGGGAGTGTTTGCCATGTAAGTTTGAGGACCCTTAGAACCCCTGTGAAAAGCTGGGTGAGGCAGAAAACACTTGTAATCCAGAGGCAGGATGATTCTTGGTGCTTACTGGCTAACCAGTAGAGCTTACTGGGTGAGCACCACATCCCAGCGAGAGACCCTGTCTCAAATAATCAAGGTGAGTTAAGCCTGAGGCACATTACACCAGACGTTGACCTCTATCCTTCCTATATATAAGTGAACATGCACACACACACACCTACATCCCCACCCCTACATCCCTTACACACAGAGGAAAACAAACAAACAAACAAACAAAAACCCCGTAAGATTATTATTACCTGTTTTTTGCTTTGAGACAGGGTCTTGGGAGATAGCCCCAGCTGCCCTTGGGTTATGTAGCGCAGGCTAACCCCAAACTTGTGATAACTCAAGCCTCAGTTTCTTGTACTGTAACTGTTCATAATTCCCGATGACTTTGATCCATCCTCTACTCCCTTTTCTCTCCTATAGAAACAATCTTTCATTATTAAACAGGCACTCTCATTTGTTGCCCAGTACTGGTAGAAAAGGAAGACACTCTTAGGACTTCTCACTGAAAACCAACCCACAGCTAAGGCATGGCATCAGTACAGAGCACGGACATTACTCTTACTAACCAATCTGCCTTTATGTAGCATGCTCCATCTCTTTCCACCTTCGTAGAAAGGTATAGCAGTGTTTCCGCATGGAGCACATCTAGCGTCGCCATTTCACATCCATGGTTGAACTCAGGCAAGTGCAGTCAGGTCACTGTCTCACGGGAAACCCCTTAGACTAGTCTAAACAATCTTTCCTTCTGTGTATCAGACACCTTGCAGTGGCGTTGTGTTAAAATCGTCAGCACACACCCATGACCTTCGTTCACATACTGAAGTGTGTTTTATAATGGTAGACAGATTCTTCTAGTTCAAGGGCAGAGAAAAACCATATAGACTGGCTTTCACACCTCCCTTTTAAGCTTATGAGAAAACAGAACTCAGAGCATGCATTTCCTGATGTGACAGTGTGCTAAGACATGTGCAGCTTAACTTAGCTCTTTACTTTATGAGACAGGGTCTCTCTCTTTTTAGCCCAGGCGGACCCTGAATGTACAGTCCTCCTACCTCAGTCTCCTGGGTTCTCTGATTACAGGAATGCAATATAATGCCCACCCTTGGGAGTGCTTATTCACAAGGACAAGCCACAAAACCTCTCACCTTTCCAGCCCAGACTTGAAATACAGTATTACTTACACAGATTTTGGAAGAATTTTCAAGGGTATTTGTCTTGGACTATTTTCTGCAGTTCTGTCAAGAAAAGCAATTTTGTGTTTCTGCCTCTATCATGGCTCTATTCTAAGATATGAATAAAATTTGTAACCTCAGCTTTCATGTAACTATTTTTCATCAACGGTAACCTAAGGCTTTGGAGTACAACATTTTCATTCCACGTATTCTTTCAGTAAAACAACACATACTGGGGAGATAGTTGATCAAAGATAAGATGCAGAACTTTATAATCTTCATTCCAAGGCTTGAAAACCCTTCTAGCAGTAAATTTAAAAGTATGTCTCATAAAACATGCGTTCATTTCTGCATAGTCACTTATAAATACTCAGGGTAAAGCAAGGTTCTACCAACTACATTAAAGGACACCAGGGTTAAGAGCTTTGTACCACTGTATGGAGTTCAGTAGAAATGGCAAATTATAAAACTTAGAAGTGTTTCTACCCATTAACTACCTGGCAGTCTAGGCTGGAAAAAGGAATGGAGATTACTTACTACAGACAATGGTAAACTTTTGACAATATCCAATACACTCTGGCATGACAGCTTTATACTTTTAAGTTGGAACTTATTCCCTGTGCTGCCTTCACAAGTTTTCTCTTCCAAACAACTTCTAAGCTCCTACTTTACCTGTATCAGAAAGGTTTTAGGAGATCTAAATAATTTATATCTTTAGAAATAGATAATAAATATTTCATTTGGCATTTATTAAATAATGCACCTCAATTAAACTATGCAAATTTCTTAACTTGCATGAAGAGCAAGAGAGAAAGGACTCTCTAAACTTCAGTACAAAGGGCACAGGACATTTAGAGTGGCCAAAGTTGAGCACTCTTTTGTTGGCCCATTGTAAACAACCTTGATGCATTTTGGAGAATAGTTTCTTTTCTTTTCTTTTTTTTTTTCTAAAGAGGGAACCTGTTACCTAATCCGAAGCTTTGAATGGTACATAAAAGAGCACACCTGCAAGAGGTGAAGAAACAAGAAGGAAATAAAACTGGGCACCTTGCTCTTAACCTGGACTTTTCTCTGTTGTTTTTTTTTTTTTTTTCCATTTTAAAATCATGAAATCATGTCTGTGCAAATTTACTGCCACTGTCACTCCAAAGTGGATTTCATAGTTCCTCTCCTCTTTTTTTTTTTTTTTTTTTTTAATTTCTCTGTGTAGCCCTGGCTGGTCTGAACTTGCTATGTAGCCCAGAACGGGTGTGGACTATGAGATCTGCCTGCTTCTGCCTCCCTAGTGCTGGGAGTTCTCAGCTCAGTTCTCAGTCTATGTACTTTGTCTTTCTCTTACCCCCACAACCACATTAGATGATCGATAACTAACAAACACTGCAAACGTCAACACAATACAGCAAAGGTCCTTCTTTTCTTCATGTCTCAAAAACAAAACAAACAAACAAACAAACCCCACACAAACCGAGGTTCTCCCAGTGATTATTTCTATGTGCACCTACCTGGGCTCACATCTTAGCTCTGCATAGGTAAAGAACACATCCTTTTGGTTATTTTTGATAAACTGTTATTCCACACCAGAGGTTTTTCAAGCAGGGATGGTTGTACCATCCAGGGAAGAGTTGGCCAAGTCTGGAGACATGACTGATGGGGAGGTAACTATTGCTATCCAGAGAGCAGACGCCATGGGTACAGCTGAACAGAACACAATGAGAAAGACAGCACCCACAGCAAGGTATTACCTGGCCTACTATGCTCAAAGTGCCAGGGTGGAAAAGCCTTGCTCTGCGTTTTAGTTGCCTACTAAGATCCACTTGAACATGATGAGAAAGACTACCTGTGAGTTGTCTGCTATTTGTTATGCCCAAATAAGGGACAAAGATCGCCTGACATTTGTTCACCTCCCTGCAAAGACAAGTAAACTCAGAGCTGGACAGGAGGATTTTAGAGGTCCTTAAAGCCAACTTCTTCTTCCTATAGATCAACAGTGGGGAGTCCAGGAGAGTCACTTGCCTAAAGTCATGCAGCTGCACTAAACTAACTATGTAGCAGCAGCAGAGCCAAGACAAGCTTTTCTGGATAGCATTGTCCATGATTGCTCACTATGGCATGGCTGACACTAAAATACCTGGCAAGAAATGTAAAAATTGACTCCTTATGTATAAGAACATTTTCATAGCTTCAACGAGATGGTACATTGTACAAAATGCAACCATTTAAAGAATACAATTCAGTGTGTTCTTTTAATATATTCAGGGCTTTGGGAATATCATGATATTTTTGTTATTATTTGTTTGTTTTTAAGTTGACTGTAGCCCAGGATGGCCCTAAATTCTCAATCTTGTTGCCTCAGCACCCTGAGTGCTGAAAATGCAGGCAAGTGCCAAGAACTTCATTCATGACTTATTTTTTAAAACACTTTTGGTGTTCTCAAGTAAACTGAGACCTATGAACAGTACCTTCAATTTCCATTAATCTCATCCTTCCCTGGCCCCAGAAAACCACACATTTAATTTATGTCTCAACTAATTTGCCTATTCTAGACATTTCTGTGAATGGAACTACATAATAGATGGCTTTTGTATCATACTCCTTTTACTTAGCAAAAATATTTTTAATCTGCATCCACAGACACAGGCATGTCTTTTGACATGTACTTTGAATGTGGGTAGGCACATATGTATGGAAGCTAGGGGCCAACATTGCTTGTCTGCCCCAATCACTATCCACTTTATTAACTGAGGCAAGGTCTCCCTCTCTGCTTCTAGAGTGAACACAGGGGTTAGGGGGCCTGCCATGAGTGCCTGACATTATATTGGTTCTGGGGACCCCCCACATTTGCACTGCAAGCACTCAGTGTGCTGAAGCATCTTCCTCATGCCCCCCAACTCTACTTTCACTCCCAGATAGTGCTCTATTATCCAGCTATTTCACATTTGCATATCTGTTCATCAGTGGGTGAGCACTTTTACTGTTTCCATATTTGGGCTATTATCAATATTGCTGCAATGAACATTTGTGAGCAAATGTTTACTCAGACATTTGTTATCTTTTCTCTTGGGTAAATCCTAAGCAGTGGCATTGCTGAGCTGTGACGTGAGGAACAGTTAAATTTCTGAGAGAAATGATTTCTGGAAGATCGTTATTCGTTATTGGAAACTTTCTAAATGCGGACATGAGATAAAGAAAGTAAACAGTACACAGTAAGTGAGGAGTGAGTCAGCAATACGTGTATGTATTTAAACGGAAAGGGGAATCTGAATTTCCCAAGACAGGCTACTTATTAACAGTCCCCAGAAGCAGAGGTGCTGAATTCTTTTCCAGGGGCTATTTTCTTCAGACTGGAAGAGCAATCATTAGGCAGAGAGAAGCTGTAAACAAATATGTCAGAGTGGAGCAGGAACAAAAATAATGTCCTCTGGCTAGTCAGGTAGAAACACAGCAAGCAGCTTGGCACCAGACATTGCAGCTGTCCTCTTTCATCTTGATGCCACAGATGGTAGAAGAATGGTAACTATTCTGCCATTTCGCTGCAAGATCTGCCCAATATGGCACAGACTGTTTCTCTTTGGGCTCATTCTCCAGGATATGCACTGGCATAAAAACTGATGATTATAGACTACAGATGCTCAGAAAAAGGCGTTCATCTGCCAGCCGATAAAACCCTCCCAAGGTGGAATGCAAATTTTGATTCAAACCACGGGGCTTCGCTCGGTTGATCCGCCAAGACATGCAAGAGTGGGAAGAGACAGCTGCCAATTGCCTAGCAGTTTCTGGCCAGGTACATTGCATGCAAATGACACTGTTCAAATTGAGGCAAAGGGGCTGGTAACATACAGCAAGCTGATCTCTGACTCCTGTATTAGCCATTTACTGACAGAGCCCATCTGAACAAGTCTTTCAAATATCACCCACTCTCTGCAACTTTCCCTCAGTGCCCTCCATGCTGAGTGCTCCTGTCAACTCTAGGCATGGAGATAGACCCATGGTTCCAGGTATTACAGCTGTGCCTCCAGCACCTTTTCCAGAGTGGATGTATCTCTTTTATTACATTTATTTATTTTGTGTGGGTGGTGGCCCTTGTCACACATGCATGGGGAGGTGAGAGGACTACTCCTGGGAGTCACTGCTCTGCTTCTAGCCATGTGAGTCCTGGGCACTGCTCTCTCAGGTTGACAGGGTTCTCAGTAGATGCTTTTACTTGTGGGTACCATCTCCCACTGTCCCACTGTGGGGCAACAT